TAATAAAAAACCACACTAACCTTTTTTTAGGACAGTTTTGATTAAGCAATGGTTAATTTTGATTAAACAAAAGGTTCTAGTTTTCTTGAAATTTTCAGTCTTCACTTCAGAAAACTCGAAGCTAGAGAGATGCTTGGATCCTCTGCAAAGATCAATTATCACCTCCTTCACCCTTGTCTGTACACAGAAAGCAGGAAGCCCAGAGACATCTAACACTCATTGCTCTAACTGGATCAATAAATAAAACAATGTCCCTACGCTTATTTTTAAAAGTAGTAATTTCAGAAGGGAAGAGGAGAGAGAGGAGTGGAATACATTATTGGTCAGATTTTTTTCGGTGGTCATTGGTTTGTATAAAGGTTTGGCATGTATCAGTAGGCAGAGAGGTGCTTGTTAAGTCTAATTTTGCATATGGCTGTTATTGCCATATCCAGATACCTATACAGTCTTCCAGTTACAGGAGTATTCATTCTCCAGCTGTCATGTATCTGAACGTAACTTGAACAAAGGCTTCACTTTACACCCTGTAGTTTTGAAAGTTGTAGTTTGAAAATACAAGGCAAAAATAATATTCCACAGCAACAGAAGAGTTAGTAGTAAACACACAAACTTTTAATCTGTTCCTTTTAGAAACCAGGTATAAAGAAGCTCTGTAGCACAAACCTCTAGCTATTCCTGAGGAAAGGGGAGGGGAGGAGGGGAGGAAAGCACCTTCAGGATGTTGTCCTCTCTCTGTTGAGATACACAATCTACTCAAGCTGCGAATAAACACAGACAGGGGTGGACAATCAGCCCAAGCTGTAACGATGACAAGCTGCTGACATTTCAGATTCTGTCTTTGAATAGCAGGTGCCTGCTGAGAACAAACACCACCAGTGAGCAGGGAAAAAGCTTTTCAGAAGTCGTTGCCTTGAACCACAGAACTATGACAGCACTGCAAGAGACAGACTGCGAGTCGGTACATAACTTGGTGCCAACCATAAGCGACACAAATTAAAAAACAAAAAAACCCCAAACACCTTTCTTAAAGCACACTTCCGCGCATTGTAGATGAGGGGAGATGATGAGATTTATTATCACCCTAGCAAAAACTGCAACAGGCCTGCCATGAGGAAAGGACCACCTCGCGAGCATACAATCCAGAAGGAAAACTCGACTATCACACACAGTTTCCAGCATGACAACAGATTAGAAGGGCCTCTTGGGTCATCCAACACACCGCTGTCACTTGCACCCACAATGTATTAAGTGGCGAACTGTCCCCTTGACAGAACAAAGCAATTTTCTGTGTCTGCTCTATACTGCTTTTTTATGAAAGTAAGTAAATGGGATTGACTGTTCTGTTTTCAGCGATCTCTCCTCTAATACCAGTGGAAGCTGTCTTTACAGACAAAACAATAAAACCCCTCTTTGCAGCTTCATTGACCAGCCCCTTCTCAGAGCTGTTTGGAGCAGGGGGAGAGGACAGGGAAAATGTCACTTAGAGGAAAAACCAAGAAGAGGCTACTACCTAGACTAAGCACCTTCTTGCTCTGTGCAGCTTTCTGCTAGTCCTGCTTTCCTAGAGGTTTCACAGTGGTGTCAGGAAAACAAGCCCAAGCCTGGGAAGAAGAAACATTGTCATAGGGGCACGTCTGCAGGACAACTGTAGCTTGGCCACCTCAGCTCTGGGTGACAGAACCTTTATGGGCTTCTCACAAGCACAAGAGCGATCACTCACTTGCTCACGCCACCACCGTGACAGCGCTGTGGGTGGGCAGGGAGGTGGTGGAGGAGCCATGGCTGGCCTTTGCTGCCCTGGCCACACAGCACCACACTGGGAGGTCATGCTGGAGTCCTGGGAGCCTGCTCCCACACAGCACCAAGAGTCCTTGGTTCTCCCACTCAGCCTGACAGGATCCCTCCTCCTCTTCCGTTTCTCCTTTTCCTTTGATACGCCTCCTCTTCACTTCCACTGGCCCATACACAGTGTTAGAGGGGTGTGCCATTTCCCCCATGCAGAGAGACACACAAGCAGATCCCTTTTTTCCATCTATTTTGATCCCAGTGCGTATCTGCCTCATTCCTATCTCCAACACTAAACTAGTATTGGTAAACATCTCCTATGGTCAGACCACAAAATACTGAGGAAGACAAATCAGCCTTTGATCTCACAACTTCCTCCCAGAGCTGGAGCACTCTTCACTTTTTTGAGCAGAGGTGTCTGCATTTGCATGTACATATGTGACCACAAACATACATACGGGCCTCAAGCTTCTCTCGAATGCAGCCAACACCTGAACGTGGCATGAGGATCTGCTGGTGCGAGGGGCCTGTACCACAAATTCTGGGTCAAAATCTGTCTCATTATCTCTTAGTGCACTTAGTCATCTCTTTTACAGAATTACTCCATCCTCAGGGTCTACTCTGTTTTTCTGTTCTCCTTCAACGCCATTTAGCGGATCCAAGCCAGCAGTCCAGGAACTCGTCTTGCTCCCTTAACACCTTGAGCAAAGTACACTGTTACAAAGCAAGACTGCTACACGCAGATCCATCATCCCAGGCAACAGAAAGGGCTAGCCCTCTTTCTGTACGACATCTGCTTCTCAATGAAATCCATTCCGATGAAGAAATCTTCACAAGAGTGAAGGCAAAAAACCCCCAAAATCCAGAATCCTGAAAGGTGACCCTCATTTTAGGTAAATGCTCCAAATCAAGGATCAATTAAAGCCTGTTTTCTTCACTTCAGGGCAGAGAAAACCAGCAGCATTTATCTGAGACACCGACAAAAGCAGGCAATCTTGGGTTTGCTGATACTTTAAACGATGAAGAGAGGACTGACAGCACCTCTAACATTCCATTTTCTCTTCATAACAATCATTCCTTTGGAAGCAAGAATGTTAATGTTTAAAAATTGAGATCTAGACTTCAGAAAAATAGGGGCTGATAAAGGGGAGAGAGCAAGCGCACAGGATTCCCATTGCTCAGACTAAAATCACAAGATATGATTATTCTGCCAGCTCCTGAAAAAAAGAAAAACACAACCCCAAACTGTACTAGATAAAATAACCAGCAGTGTTTCCTCTCAAAGTGCAGAACAGCACCTTCCAGTCCTTTTGACCCAAGCTGAGGCTTGCACACCCTACTATTTCTGACAAATGAGGAACCAGACAAGCTGAGCAGTTAGGCCTTATCTACCTAAGTCAGAAGTAACTAATGACTCTGAAGAAGCACCATATCAGCACATATCAGCAGCAGATTTTCATTTACTCTGAGATACTGCACAGAAGTACCACAACCTCTCTCACGGGCTTATAATTGGCCCAAGACATTGTATAGAGTGAAATCAGCTGTTATAGGAGGAAAGGTGAAAAATTACTAAACAGCAGGAGAAAGATTATCTTGAACGGCCCGCTGCTGCTTTTTAAGCAATCCTGGTTTTCATCATGATCCTTGCTTCATTTTGTAAAGATTCCAACGACGATAATAGAAGAAGTAGGTTGATCCCTATCACACGCATGATGAAAAAAATAAAGAAATGATACTAGCAGATATCCCTGGTCTTCAGGGAACTTGTGATTAGGGCTGTTTGCTGACCCAGCAAACAGCCTGGGTAGAAGCACCTACAGAAAACAAAAAAACCAGCACAAAACAGAATAAAAAAACAGCTGTGAGATAAAAATGCCTATTTCTGTGACATTCTCATCAGCAGTATCCCACAGAATCCTTGCCATCACAGACTTAATTCATTTTGTCAGGATTTATTTCTTCCAAGACATACTTCTTATATTACACATGGAGTAAGGAAATGAGGGGAGTTAAGGCCTACGAATTAAACAATTTAGTCTTGGAATGCTGTTTTCTAGATACAACATGCCACCCAGTCTGGCTAGACTTGCAGTGATTTAAAAGAAATACGTGCAGAAGTTGTGAACTAATTAGAAATAAAGGGGTGTTGTGCCAACCAACGATGAGCAGGAGCCCAAGAATTTAATAAAAAAAAAAAAAATCTAACCAAACATCTTTGTTTCTGGTGACATTTTCCTGAAAACAGAACAACCTAGACATTGGCTTTTCGTTCCCCAAGTAAAATAAACTTCAGATCATTCTCCCACCCTCCCACCAGATTCATGCAACACTGAAAACTTCTGAGCTTTTTTTTATTATTATTATTTCATTTAAACAATAGGTTTGGGGCAAGATGGGAAGAGCGCAGCACCTTTTAAAAAAACCCTGTTGTGTGCTGTATAGGATAAATAGGTGAGCTTTAAAAAAAGTTTATATATGTACATATACACACATACACTAAACCAAATTAAAACCAAAAACTTGTGAGGGGTCATTTTCAACACAACAAAAGAGAGAAAAGCCTTATTTCACAGCAAGCAAAAGCACCACAAGTTAAGATTAGAGCGCACAATCACACGTAGTGCAGATACCAAACTAGCCTGGGTCCTGGAAGAAGTATAGCCATAGCAGCACAGAGCTCCACGTGGGTCAACTCACCTGCTCCTCAGCAAACGCAAGCACAGAGCCTGCGTTCGGGATGGTGTGCTGTGCAGGCTCTCCCACAGCTGGCTGCTCTGCCTGCATCAGTCTTTGCAGAAGCCACAAAAACTAGCAAACCAGTGAGTGTCAGAGACCCAAAGCTAAGCTACAGGACTGATTTAGCTACAGTATTTCTGTAATAGAGGTTTCTTGAGTTCCCCCATGTCTCTTGGGTGCTCCCTGTAGGTACTGCCTGCTTGGGTCACACAGCAGACAGCTCCTGATTATTTATTATTTGTGCACTGAGGTTCCCTTTCTTGCCTACCTGCAACTTTTCTTTTCCTATCTCTCTTCAACCCCACAACACTATTCCTATTTCCTCCAGGCTGACAGGGTAATAAAATTAGGAAGGGGCATGTACACCTACCCAAGGGGATACTCAACAATCAAACAAAGCTTAAAAACCAATAATAATAATAATAATAATAATAATTCTTTAAAAAAAAACCCAATTTAAAAACGTGTTCAAATTCTGCAGACTTCTGGCAGAGTTTGGTCATTTAGCCCAGAGGTCTTTGTCTTCAGGGCCTGCAGGCTAAATTGTCTCAACTGGCAAGAAACATGCAGTACAAGGTAAAATTCTGACTAAAAGAAAAAAGTAGTAAGGGCTGGGGAGAGAAGAGGCTGTAACACGGAAATCCGCTACTTTGGTAGCGGCACTCATGCTACACGGTAGGCTTTCAAGAGAGTGAATTCCTTTCTGTTGGTGCGAGCCGCCCAGATGAAAAGAGCAGCTGCCATGAACTGCAAAGGTGCCGAGACACAGGCTAGGCAGAAGGACCAGCCAAATTCACCCCTCACGTCATCAGGCAGGGGCAGCTTCTGATGGAGCAGCTCAATCCCAGCTACGTAGCAGCCAACCAGGCCCAGCGTACAAAGCCCTGGGGAAAGAAGCAGCAAAGCACAATGAGCTCACCGTCGAAGTGCTCTGGCTGTCTCTACCAGCTTCTGCAGGAGGGAGGGTGAGTTGGTGGATGGCAGGAGACCTACCTGCTAGGAAATGGAGGACTCCAGTGGCAATGGCAGGGTAGAGGCTGCGACAGGCACAAGCACAGAGCCCAATCAGAGCCCCAAAGCACATGAGGCCAAGGCTGACAAAGGGCAGGAGAAACTGCAATCGCCAGAGATCTGCACATGAAAAAACACACAAAAGAAGCTTGCTGAAGATGTGTTTATTAAACTGATCTTCTCCCATCACCTTATATTCTCTTCTACCCACACTGCTTCTGCTTCATCAGACATTCTACATTCACAGCTAAAAACGACCAAAGGTCCCACCAAAATAGGAAGAACTTCACTTGTTAACTCCCAGATCGCTGCACTGCATTCATGGGCAAAACCTTTGCTAAAGCACTTAAGTTTTCCTTTTAAACTCTGACCTACTGCCTGTGCGAATGGGAAGCAAAAAGAAGAAAGAGAAAAAAAGGCAGAGCAAGATACAGATGCTTCCCTTACTAGTGACTGGATTTGAGAAACACCTTTTCCTTCATCTTACTTGTTTACCTGCCAGAAGCGAAAGACACTTACAAGTTCGATTCAAATCCGTGCCACTATTGTGATTTCCAGGCTCTATGTACTTTTCCATAAACTGATCAGAGAGGGAAAAACTGATGCAGTTTGTAGTCATATCAGTTTCTGGGGGAGGAAAATAAAAAAATTACTATTAGGTGTCTCCCTCCCATTCCCCCACTTCAATTCCTCCTTTCCCAACCATTTAAGCTGGGAAGCTCCTCAGAGAAAAAAACACCTCTCAAAACAGAATCGTAGGATGCCTTATCACAATGTAGGTAGCATAATGTAGTTACTACAATGAGGGACAGCATTCAACCATGCAGAATCTTCACGCTTACCTGGGTTATCCCCAGTGAACTGTGCCATGCCCGACAGATTGGGAAAGAAACATGGCATACTGATGCTCAACTATGTTGCTACATATTCTTCTACTCAGAGTCCCATAACTGAGCTGTGCTTATCTCCATGTGTAGAATGTAATATATTACTAAACACTCCATTCAAAAACATGATAGAAAGGACTGTTTCAAGAACACAAAATACTTGCTTTTTTATACCAACTTGCTTCCCTTTTACCCCTCAGATTTTGCTTTGAAAATGCTATTGAGCAGAGTTGGTTTAAGTGTCTTCCAGAATAAGTGTTTGCATAAAAAAATAAAACTATTTCATGTAACGTTTTTCTCCAGAAAAAAGTGTTTGAAAGTACATTTTTTTCAGGAAAAGGTTCAAAATGAAGGGCTTCACACACACAATAGGTGTTCAAAATCTAATCTGAAGCAATTAAAATAATTGCTCACCACACTTTTTTAGCCCCCAACCATTGTGGAAAAAAAGGAATACAAACATTTCATTCTATATCCAGCACTGTGGTACAAGCAGTGCAAAATCTCCTGATGCCACAGTGGGAAGTTTGTGGCAGGCGAGCAAAACGAATAACTACTAAAAGGAGCAAGTGCCCCCTTCATAAAGTAGTATCTTTACCCCATTGCTGGATCCCAGGACCTCTCCTAAAACACAGTGACTGGCAGAGCAACAATAACTGTATCCCCAGCTAGACAGCAGATGCAAAAGAAAACAAAGTTATATCAGACTAAATTTAGATCAACTATCGTGTCAAATCCAGAGCCTGTAGCAGTGACAGCCACAGACCATTTTGCCTTTCATGCCTTTTGAAGTTTAGACTGTCTTTATTAAAAAAATCCAAACACATAAGCTAGAAATAAGTGTTCTGAAAGAACAAAGTAGCATGAGCGTGTTGTGAGGAAGTTAGCACATACCACCCCAGGCAAACTAGGGAAGGGTTAATTGCTCCCGAGATACCTGGTGGGCTGTACCAGTGAGAGTTTTTGGGCACAGTGATACACCTCCGCCACAATCCAACCGTGCCGTTGCACCGGAAGAGCGCATCTGTGTAGGTCTTCTCATCCGCCTCTTCGCTGACAAATTCCTCCCAGATGGTCCTACCAGCTTCACTAACATTCTCAGCTGGGGACAGGGTGTGGTATTCGTACCAAAAGTCAGTGCCAATGGAAGCTGCCATATAGATGGTGGAGATGAGGCTGAGAACGCAGGCAATCACTAGTGCTGTAGCAAAACGGTTATCCATCATTGCGCCCTCCCTGCTGTAAGCAAAGAGAGGGCCAAGTGAGCAGCTCCTCTGACAGGAAACACAAAGTTAGCCCAGCAGTGTCACACTCATGACATCACTCTTCTTGCGCAATGCCCCCTCCGGACACCTGTGCCTTCCTTTTCCAGCACGCTGGAATCAAAGGAACACTGAGCAGGTCTACAGCACTGTCGGCATCCGCTGGATCTGAGTTCAAGGCAGACACCGCCCTCCTCCCAGCCATGCTGCGCTAGCGGCTCTCTCTCTGAAACAGCAACTGACAGGGCAACAGCAGCTCTGTCCCCAGAGCAGATGGCACAGCTCGCTGCTGTTTGTGATCCTCACCGTAGGGAACCGCAGAGAACCCATCCACAGCGACCAGGCAGAAGACTTATCTTTCCTTAAGAGATTACCAAGAGTAGAAGTTATTTTTAGCCTGCCATCCCATACGGCTTTCACAGCTTGTGTTTACAGCAAAGATAAGAACCACAAGCATGCCAAAAAAGCTCTTCCAGACTGTTCACAAAGGGCAACCATGCCAAGAGGCTGGAATGCCTTTAGGGGAGCAGAGAAATGCACCTAGGCACTAGAGACACAACACGAATGAAGCACTGAATGACAAATTTGGAAATTATTATAAATGCTGCAATAATGCCACAATACATACTGTGGTGTTTCTGAAATACTAAAACCATGCGAGGGGTGCCCTGTTCCGTGGGAACAAGGTGACAAAAGCTTCCAAAACTGAAAGGCTTTCATGCGCTGGCATGAGGACGTTGCTCTGGCTCCCTGTATTAGGGGTCACTTCTGCCCTCCTTTGCAGGTCATGCTCACAAACAGCATAAATTCAGGGTCAAAGGAGGCATGGGAAAACACAGATACCACACTGGCTTACACTTATGACAAGACTGAGACTTTAATGAGTAATTGATTGCTAATGCATGGAATGTTTTGTGGATAGTGCAACACGTCAGAGGACTCTCAGATGCTTGTTGTGCTCATGCGTTTTCTGTGTTTGATTAAAGTTATGGATTATGATGAATCAGGCTTGATGCACTTGCCAAAAAAAAAATACAATACCCAATTGAGGTTAACTCAGCAGCTAGAGCTAGTCTGGTTACATGAGCTACTATCTAATCAGCTCTTGTCTATTGCTTGTTCTACCTCCCTTCTCCCACGTACTTTGATCAAAATATTTTGGTCTAGTTTCTTTGCAACTGAATGAACCGCAACTGGAAACAGCAAATGTCTTAAAACACAACATTCACAAGCAAAAACACGAGCTCTCAAGTTAGACCTGCCAATAAGAAATTCTGAACTATGAACCGAGGTGCAAATTAAAGCAGGGAGTTTCAAAGGCACCTATATTTGCTGTCAACAATGCCATCCTTATTTCTTTTCCTTCCCATCCACACCTCTGGTTGAAACTGGCTAACAGGATTGGGGAACAGAGATGATGTGTAGCCATATGACCCCCTATGCTTAATTTCCATATTCAAGGAGAGGTATTACAGAGAGCAGGCCTCATTTAACTGCATCTTTAGCAAACAGCAAGGATAGAACCGATTTTTTGCAAACTGACAAGCAGCACCCACTTAAAATACTGCAAAGTTTGCATACCACAACTGTACTTTAATAATAATCCAGAGGCTGTGAACTTTTACAAGCTAGGACAAATACTGAGAGGCAGAAAACATTGTATCTGGGCTTATTTATCTAGAAGACACAGATTCAAGTCCAGACTTGAAAGCAAGTACTCTGTGCAGCGTTTAATTCTTGGTTATGTACTTCCAACCTCCTTTGATACCCTAGCACCTAGCTCAAGGTACACAGGACACTGGATAAGCAAAACAGGGAGAGAGCAAGCTGCTCTATAGGGCTGACCTCGCTATTCTTCCCCACTGAGTGATCCCCTCCCCTTCACAAACTTCTGGCAAAGCAAACAGAACCAGTGGCATCTCCAGGGCCAAAGCTGTGTTGCCCAGCTCCTGCCCAGCTGAGCGCAGAGCTGAGCAAATCCTCTGGGAACTCACTCTCAGGGCAAGCAGCAGAACAGGCTGGCGAGCAGGCTGGTCTGGATTTTCCACTATGCTGAAGTCACATTCACTGCAAGAGGAATCCCCTGCAACAAACGCCTCTCTTTAGAAAGGGCGCTCTCTGGAAGGAGGAACTGCAAGAACCTACAAACTCCATCTTCTGAGTAGTGTCTGGCGAAAAAGAATGTAGGCAGGACGTTACCGGGCCACTGGTTTGCTGCCCTTGGCTTTTAATAGAAATGCTTACAATATAAAAGTCCTATCAACTTTGTACCTAACATACAGAAAGAAAACAACTGGCTCACAAATCTTACTTTCAGATACAACATCCTTGCTGCCAGGTGCAGAACACTGGTGCTGGAAATACCCCTATCAGAACATCATTAAAACACAACCACACACTTCTGGCCAGCCTTCTGTGTGTTGGCACACCGTGGACTTGGCAGAGTTGATGTCAGCTGGCAACCAAGAGCAGTTCACAAGCAAAATGAAGGGTTAAACATCAAACAGTAAATTAAAGCACTGTCCAGTGTTCACCACCCACTTGGTAAAAGGGACACAGATACCTAGTGACGTTCAATCCTTGCAATGCACAGTTCCGAGGATAGGCAGAAAGCAGCTGAGGTGGCTGCAGTCCCCAAAACGTACCAGGTGGCTTTGTGTGGCAATTGTCCATGCTGAAAATCCATGTGTATTCTTTCTGAGACAGGACAGTACTAAGGCAAGACCACACCCCCAATTCCTCATAATAAAGGTCCCTTCAATGCTTCCGCCCAACACTTCAACTACTTACAGAAGAGATGAAGAATTCTACACACTTTAGGTAGATTTTGACCTAGAAGTTCTTCCTGTCACAGTGTAGCAGACTTGACTACCCTGCCCATTCACTGTGTATATCCAATGCATCTCATTTACAGTAGACACACCCCCACTTACACAAGGCGTCTTTTGCTCTGTTAAAGAGAGAACCATACTTCCAGCCCCAGGCAGAGCTCAATGGAGTAGTAAGCATAGTCAGTAAGAAATAGTTACCAGAGCAGACCGTGAAGAAAGGCACTGCATGTTTATGAGATTATGCCACACTCTGCAAAAGGTTCTATGCAGAGCAGTAAGCAGGAGATGCCTTAGAATAAGCTTACTTACCAAAAAATAACATTATAATTAATGTCATCTTCAGTAGTAGTAAAGACTTTGCCTTTATTGGCTGTCAGAAAGAACCTTCATTGTTTTTACGAAAGGTTTGTTCATCCAGCACTGCCAGAACACTTCATTCTAACAGCAGGAGCTCTTTCAAACAAGTTATGGCTGAAGCCAAGCTATGCAATGAACATAAGAGAACACGAGGCAGCAGTAAACAGGCTCTCAAGCCAAAGTGCTTCATAGGATATTATACTCATTTCTGAAAGAAGCGAGACACGTAAAAATTTCAAAGTACCAGCTCCTAACAGAGAAGGCAAAGCCCAAACTAGCAGCAACATTCAAAGGAATGACTAGACACATGCACTTGACAGAAGCGGGGAAAACAAAAGGGCACGTCACAAAACAGCACAAAAGCAAGTATTCTGGCAAACAATCAACTCTAAGACTAGAGAACGGATAAGCATTTTAAGAAGTTACTGTACTATGGCAGAGGGGAATACAAAAAACCATATATTTTTTATCTCAATGCAGAAATCACTCCCTTCAGCCAACACCAGGCCACCACATTTAAGAAATTCCTTTTACCTGACATCACAAAACAGTAAGACTGAATTTGCTGCTTTTTCTCAGAAAACATACTTGCGATCTGACTGCTCTTTGGGGAAAGCAGAATCGACAGAAGGCCTAAAAGCAGGCGTAAACGCAGGGTGAGGGCTGGCCACACTACCGAACTGAATCCTCCTTTTAATACTCAGGAGGGTCAGAAAAGAATGCTACCGAGCACTTTTTTACCTTCGGAGGCCCTGAGAGTCCCTGCGGACACACAGCTCCAACGCTTCCAGGTCACCTCACAGACACAGGGCTGTCCGTGTCCCGTGGTTCGCCGAGAGCATGGAACGCAAACGTCCTATTTGCTCTGACTGGTCCATTCATCCAGTTTCTTCAACACCACCAGCCCACAGAAAGCCATCTAGGAGTAGAAAGCAAACCAAACAGGCAGAGATCATCAGTTATTATTAAAATTGTTTAACAGACATCTTCCAGCGTCACTCATTAAGAAAAAAACACTAAAAAGTAAGGGGGAAACCAGGACTGGAAGAGCCCCCGGGCCCGCAGCACCGTGCCCCATCAGGACTCGCCCCGCAGAGGGGCAGCGGAGGGTAACTCACCCCACGAACGCCTCTCGCC